ACCCACCCCCCCCCCCCCCCCCAGTTTTGGGGTATATTTTCTATAAGGAAAGGCGTGTTGTCGCGATTCCGAGAGGAAGCAGCAGTAGCAGCTGTCAGCTCTTATTAACTCCTGCATAAAACATACCTTAAGTACGGTTTGTTATCAATTACTTGCAGAAATGAAACAACTGGGAAAATGCAGCGAGGCTCCCTATAAATTAAAGTGATTGGTTGATTGATTAGAGCACCTGCTGTAAATCATAACGGTCGCGCGCAATTATGAGGGAGCTATTTAAGTTCATTTGTAAACAAAATTCACGTCACGGGGGAATCGCTCTCATTTTTAGTTCGGCCAATTCTTTTTGTTTATTTCTGAGCGTGTCTGGTTGCTATTATAGGAATTTGTTGGTTATAATCCCCTCGGTTACTCTTAAAATAGCCTCACTCGTTTCTCAGAGAAAAGAAACATTTCGGTTTGTCGGGGACAGAATGACATGGCTTTATTTTGTTTAGTTTCGCTTTATTGTTTTGTTTTGCTTCTTTTTTTCCTCATAACTTCCTTTAAATATGTGTTACAGTAACCAGATCAGTTTTATTTAAGGGTGGGAGAGTTCCCACTCCTGCACGGACAGCACAATATCATCGAGGTGGAGAACACCACGGTTAGATCAGATTTTTTTTTTTCTTTTTTTTTTTTTTTTCCTGGTGTTTCTTGTGGGTATTTAGTTTCCTAAACGATTGCTTTTTTTTTTTTTTTTTTTTTTTTTTTTCCTGGTGTTCATTTTTCTGAAGGGAAAGACTCATTTTATTTCATAAACCAGACTTAATAAAAACACAAAGCAATAACAGAGCTGTCTTCTGCTTGCTGTATCCTCCAGCCTTGATACTTATTTAAGGCAGCAACTCCCTTCGCCTAGTGAATTTATTCCTGGCTCAGCTTAGCAGTTAATGGAAACATTAGCAAAAAAAAGTAAATTTTCCTTTTTTTTTCCCCTCCAGAAAGGCGCTGTCCGTTGTACAAAAGGCATCGGGGGGCTCTGGGTGAGACACAGGCTCAAACCCGAAAGTTGCCAGGTGCTTGCCAATACCTATTTTATTTCCCAATGATCAAACCCTGCATAGAGGCTGTACTGCACCACCCTTCTCTCCATCCATCATTCATGGAACAGTTTCCTAGAGGTTTTGGGGGAGCAGCAGCACCCTTTAGGTTGCTGGAAGTAGCCAGAGATTCCAAATTCCCTTTCATTTTGCTATTCTGTGCATGTCAGAGAGACTGTGGTTGTCCTGTAACCTCCTTCGTGACATGACGGTTTCTCTCTCCCCTCTTCCCCTTTTTCTTCCTCCAGTTCCGGTTCCTCCAAAATCTGTTACATCTTTGATGATGAATAAAGATGGCTTCCTGGGTGGAATTTCAGTCAATACCGGAGAGGTGTTTTGCTCTGTACCTGGCCGCTTGTCTTTGCTTAGTTCAACTTCAAAGTATAAAGTAACTGTGGGAGAAGTTCAAAGACGCCTTTCTCCTCCAGAGTGTCTGAATGCATCCCTCCTAGGAGGAGTTCTTAGAAGGTAAGAAGTTGGGTGTGAACATGCTCGTGTTGGGGCATCCATGCATGCACCAGAAATATTTGGTCAATGGTAAAAATGGTTGCAAATATGCATTAATCTTATTGTCGCACCATGTGTATGTTCAGAGCAACGTGAAAATAGGCCTTATTCAGACATTGATGGACACGTGGAGACTAGAGCAAGGTTTGGCCTTGGACATGTTCTCTCAAAGCATCCCAAAATGAACTGAGACAAGAAGCTTTGTCACTCTTGTACATGCACACACTGTTTCCTCTTCCTCCTCACGCTTCTTTCTTAGCAAAATAAAATGCCATGGTGGACACGTGGCACTTAGATGTTGTAGGATGGACCTGATGTATTCCAGGACCTGGTGTATTTCTAAGGATTTCCTGGAGAAACCTGTGAGGTTCCTTCATACGGCAATTAAGATGGTGCCACACAGGGTATAGTTGAAATTTCAGGGGATTAAAAGGCAACCTGTAAAGTAAGTAAGTACCTGACTATAAAAAAGTGAACAGTCACCTTTGAAAGTTAGAAACCTAGTGCTTCAGCAACCTGTAAAGTAAGTAAGTACCTGACTACAGAAAAGTTGTCAACAGTTATCTTTGAAAGTTAGAAACCTAGTGCTTCTTCTAGAAGAGGTTGCTAAACATTCTCACAGTTGGTCTTTAGGCCTTTGCTGTTTAACGTTTGTGCAAATCACCCGCTAATATCCTGGGGGATTTTGCTGAAGACCTCGTTATTGGTACTGAGGAGAATGAGGAGGGAGGGATAAGCTGGAGGCCTGGTTGCAACCCATCACATCAACTGGGAGACTGTGCGTTTAAGTACCGGCAACAAGAATTTAAGCTTCAAGGTCATCAGGTGGAAAGACTATCAGGGAGAAAGGCCTTTATCTTCTTGACAGTGACTGAAGGACTGTCACTTGGCAGTATGACTTGTTTGTAGGAAAGGTGAGCTGAGGCTCAATCTCTGGTCAGAACAGAGAAGACCTCATTATAGGGCATGAGGTACCAGTTCACTCAAACTGAGGGGATAAAGCTTCATTTCCTATGTGTGAGGTGTATGCCAAACTGGAAAAGAAACCATAACTTCGAGACAAAACCGTGCAATTTATTTGGCCAGGAATAAATTTCAGCACATATTTAAAAGCTGCTAATCTTAGAGGAGGAAATATCTTGCCAACCCCTGTAGCAGCGATTGGGCAACGTTGAGTCTAGAGAGTTTTAAAATTGAGTTGTTGTTTGGTTTTTTGGTTGTTTTTTTTCTCTGTTTTAATCCCTTAAAAAAAAAATCTGTGACGAGGTCAGGGGCTCCAGCTCCGTGTCTGGAGCAGAGGGGGAAAATCCTGCTCCATGCAGTCAGTCACCCAAAAATACACGTGAGAATTAGGGTCTCCTTAAAATAGACGCTGTTCCACGTGAGTGTCTGTAATCATTGTTCAGCTGTGATCCTTGCCAGGGAGAGCAGAGAGAGATTTTTACTTACAGATGCTCAACCTGCCTCCTCATTCTGTACAGCCACAAATGGAGCAGGGAGAACATCCGAGAGATACACACTGTAGAAAATATAATTATCGAGGTAAAGCGACATCATTATTGGACTTCAGTGGATTTCTGGAGACGGCCCAAGCCGTAATCATTGGCTGCTGCTGACTTCAGTTCCTATCTTGAATCTAAATTTTAGACAAGCTTTTGGTTCAGAGCAGATGAAATATAGAAAGCTGCTCTCTCGTAATTCTACCATCTAGCCCTATTTACTGGGATATAAAATAGTGGGAAGCCAGCCTGGCTTGTCTGTCCTTCCTGGTTTCCTTTCTCTAAGGGTGACTGCTAATTCTTAAACAAAATTCTAAGTAAGAATCAAAGAGATATTTGGGGGGGGGGG